GAGTAGCTGGGACTACAGATGTCCGCCACCACACCCAGCTATTTTTGTATTTTTAGTAGAGACGGGGTTGCACCATGTTGGCCAGGCTGATCTCAAACTCCTGACCTCAAGTGATCCACTCACCTTGGCCTCCCAAAGTGCTGAGATTCAGGCGTGAGCCACTGTGCCTGGGCCACCCTTGTGATTTTCATTTCCTTGCCCCTGAGCTGTCACCTGGATGCCAGAGAGAGTAGCTCCTGGATGCCATGTGGGCTCCTGTGGGGACTCGTTCCACGAAGAGAAGCACCTGAAACTGCCCTGTTGGCATGCTGTGTTTTCTTCTGTGCTTCCCGAGTAGTTCGCTGCGGAATGTGGCCTTGGTCATTGGGTAGCTCAGAATGTGTAATTGAAAGTTCCACGTGGGCACTGCAGTGCATCCAAACAAAATACAGAAATAAAAGTGTTTCCTGGGGCTGATCTAACTTTATAACTCTCACTTAACATCCTCAATTTCTAATATTTATCTATTGGAATGCTCATGTTTTCATTGACTATAAAGATTTCAGATTGAACTTACAAGTATATACACTATACTATCTTTTTTAATGTGTTAGATTCTGTATATGTTTGCCAACTCCAAAATGGTTCTGCTGCTTAAAAAAAGTATCTGATAACTAATATTTTAGACCTGTACTCTCCAGTGGGTAGATATGTGTTGCTGTAATATGGCTATTAAGATGAAATATAATTACAATTCAGTTTTTTAGTCATACCAGCCATAATTCAACTGCTCACTCACCGTATGTGGCTAATGGCTACTATATTTGACGTTGTAGATACGGAGCATCTTCATCATTACAGAAAGTTCTGTTGAACAGACTTTCTAGGCTTTATTTTTAAAATGTATCCACATTATCAGAGAGCGTTATGTTTTTACTATATATGCTCTGTGCAATAAGAATCAGCATATCTTTCAAGAACAGTATTGAAGACCCCAGTGTATTATGTACAGAATGATCCACTAGAGAAACATTTCTTAGATTTGAGTACCAGGATAAGTTAAGTTTCTCCTGAAATTTACCCTCTGATCATGTCTGGTTTGTAACTGATCATTTTTCCCTTTCTGCTTTGTCCCCTAGAGAGTGTAGGGCCAACTTTATGGCTCACTTTAAGTAACCATTTGGCCCGCATATTTGTATGCTTTGTATAATTTTTGAAGGCTCTAGTTTTATCTTGCTAGTCTGCTTATTTTCTTGTCTGGATTTTTGTATTAATAAATATAACTTTATAATTTTTGCATTTTAAGGGGGGGGTGTAAATACAGTATAATGAGTGAATACCTTTAAGATTTTGATTGATAGTTATTATTAGGAGCCATTTATTACTGAACCTCAGAGGTGAGAAGGGGTGAGGGAGCTAAAAGCAGTCAGTCCTTAGCTGATCATTATAATGTACACATATGTAATCTGGACTGCTCACCAAATGAAATGACTTAGAATGTACACCTGTCATACAACCAGTTTAGCCTGCTTTTCTAAAATATTTTTCATTTTCAAAGTAATGTTTAAAGAAGACTTACTGAAGTTGATTGTAAAAAATTTCAAACTTTTAAGTGTTGCTAGGGAAATGTAACCAAAAACATATCTGATTATTTTACTCAAACTAGTAAACAGGGTTTAAACAAAGAGGGCGGAGGCTGGGTGCCGTGGCTCATGTCTGTAATCCCAGCACTTTGGGAGGCCGAGGCGGGCGGATCACCTGAGGTCAGGGGTTCGAGACCAGCCTGACCAACATGGAGAAACCCTGTCTCCACTAAAAATACAAAAAATTAACCGAGCATGGTATCACATGCCTTTAATCCCAGCTACTCGGTTGTGGTGAGCCGAGATCACGCCATTGCACTCCAGCCTGGGCAACAAGAGTGAAATTCCGTCTCAAAAAAAAAAAAAAGAGGGTGGAGGACTCTTTTTAACTTTGCTTATGAAGAGAGTTTTTTTTTTTTTTTTTTTTAAATGACAATCTGATTCTGGGTGTTCATGCCTTCTCATTGGAAAACCACCACTGTGCTTTTTTCTCTTTTTCCATTTTTTTTCTTTCATTGTTAGAGATGGATCTCTCTCTAACTGTAACTGTGGGAGGGTAGTGATATTATCACAGCTCACAGTAACCTCTGGCTTCAGCCTCCCAGTTAGCTAGGACTATAGGCACACATTACCACACCTGGCAATTTTTTTTTTTTTTTTTTTTTGTAGAAACAGGGTCTCACTCTGTTGCCTAGGCTGATCTTGAACTCCTGGGCTCGAGCAGTCCTCCTGCCTCAGCCTCTCAAAGTGCTGGGATTACAGGCACTGAGCTACTGTACCCAGCCTTTTTTCTATTTTATTCTTGTCTTGTATATTTTACATTTTATAGCTTTTCATGTTTCTGAAACCACTTACCACATTTAGGCCAAAAGGCAAAATAATAAAAAATAAGACTAACCTCACCTAAAAAAAAGTTTAAGGATTAAGTATTTCCATATACCAGTGATGAACAGATTTGAACAATATATTTGATTTTGTGCTCTCTAGTTGCTAAAGTGAGGAAAAGAAACAGAATTATATTGTTTTCATGTGCTGACAGCCGGAAGCATGTAAACATCTGCAGAAACCAAATGTTTCCTGGAACTAAGCTTGAGCAGAAATCTATCACGTGGACCTTTGTTTAAAGAACCTTGTGAAAAACCACAGTTATGTAAAAGACCCAGGAGCGCAGTTCATGTGGATTAGATTCTCTAGGAGGCAGAGAGTCTAAGGAGATCAAAGAAAACGACGACTTGGGAAGTATATGTGCTGAGCCCTGGAGCCAAACTAGCAGAAGGGAGTTTTGGAGGCACTGAATCCAGGGCCTGTGCTTTTTGGGGGCTGTAGTAAAAGAAAGGAGTATAGGCCTGGTACAGTGGCTCATACCTGTAGTCCCATTACTTTGGGAGGCTGAGGCTGGAGGATGGTTTGAGGCCAGAATTCAAGACCAGCCTGGGCAACAAAGTGAGACCCCTTCTCGACAAAAAAAAACAAAAAAACCTGGGTATGTTGGTGTGTGCCTGTAGTCCTAGCTACTCAGGAGGCTGAGGCAGTAGGGTCATTTAAGTCCAGGAGTTGAAGGCTGCAGTGAGCTATGCGGGTACCACTGCACCACAGTTGGGTGACAGAGCAAGACCCTGACTAAACAAAACAAAGGAGGCAGGGAGTTTAGAAAATACCACGATTGTTAAGAGGACCATCCGATTTCATTTTCTCTAAAATATTAGATATTGTCAGTGTGGTTTTTGTATAGGTGCTGATTCTGTTCTGTTCATCTTCAAGTAACAAATAAATGCCTGCAGTGGAGATATCTTATTTTGATGATTAATGGGATGCTTTTAAGCTTTGAAGAAAGCAAACAACATTTTCCGTGGATCTTTAAGAGCTGGGCTAATATTTTTGCCCACACAGAACTCTAATTCATTTCAGAGTCAAGGGCAACAATAGAATATTATTTCAGTGACCTTGCATTTGTTAATACAGGTTTTCATAATAGAAAGCAATTTAAATCTTCAGAACTAATGTAACGTGGAAGAAACAACTCTTTCCTGAAATATATGAGGGACAAGTGTAACAAACAATTCATCTTTACTCTGACAGTCTCAACTGAAAGACTTCAGTGTGGTCATAGTAGTGCATTTTCGACTCCCAGCAGGCAAGTAAGGCAAGGGACCATCAGCTCCCAGGCTACTGTAGTCATCCATGGAGATGAGGGAGGCTCGCATGGCAGTGGTCGGAGCAGGAAGAAGTACTTAGAATTCAGATGTAGTTTTAAGATGGAGCCAGCAGGGTTTGCTCATGAACTGGGTAGAGGGTGTGAGGGAAAGAGAAAAGGCCAAGATGACTTGGAGGATGGAGTTATCCTTGCCTGAGATGAGCAAGCCTGTAGGAGCTTCAGGCATGGGGCCCTAGGGGAGCATCAGGAATTTGGTGTGGCATGATATTAAGAGGGGAATGTCTATTAGACATCCAGGTGGAGATGTCAAGGAGAAGCCTGAAAAATGAGCCTTGAGTTCAGGGAAGAGGTTCACGCTCTTATTTAAGGTGATGAGACCCACTGAGATGACCAGGAGGGAGGGAGTGTAGATAGGAAAGTTCGAGAACTGAGAGTCCTGGGTCCCTCCAGCGTTGAGAGACTGGATGATGAGAAGTGGTTTAAAGAATGGCCAGTGAAGGAGGAGGAGAGTCAGTAGGTTGTGGTGTCCTGGCAACCAAGCAAAGAAACTGTTTAAAGAAAGAGGAGAGTGATCAGCTCTGTCTGTGCCACTGGCAGGTCCAGTAAGAGGAAGACTGAACAGTGAACGTTAGATTGAGTGAAAATGGTTTCTGCTGCTTTTTTGTCCAAGTAGTCTTGAATGAATTCAGTTAACCTCTCTCTGGGGATAACAATGGTACCTACCTCATCAGGTGGTGGTGATGAACTGTTTGTTTATTTAAAAAAATTTTTGCTGAGACAGGGTCTAGCTCTGTTGCCAAGCTGGAGGGCATTGGCATGATCACAGCTCACTGCAACCTTGACCTCTTGGACTCAAGCAGTTCTCCCGTCTCAGCCTCCCAAGTAGCTAGGACCATAGGCATTGCCACCACCACACCCAGCTACCTTTTAAATTTTTTTGTAGAGAAGGAGTCTTGCTGTGTTGCCCAGGTTGGTATCAAACTCTTGGACTCAAGCAATCCTCCTGCCTCGACCTCTCAAAGAGCTTGCATTACAGGCGTGAGCCACCATGTCCAGCCTATGAACTGTTTAAGTGGATGACCAGCCTAAGCAAGAAAGACCCCATTCCAAAAAAAAAAAAATAAGCTGGATGTGGTGCCATGTGCCCGTGGCCTCGGCAACTCAGGAGGCTGAGGTGGGAGGATCACTTGTTCCAGGAGTTTGAGACTGCAGTGAGTTATGATTGCCCCACCGCACTCCAGCCTGGGTGACAGAGTGAGACCCTGTCTAAAAAGAAAGAAATAATGCTCGCTTTGGCAGCACATGTGCTAAAATTGAAGTGATACAGGGAGGAGTGGTGTGGCCCCTGGACGAGGATGGCATGCATATTTGCGAAGCATTCCATCTTTTAAAAATTCAATTTTAAAAATTTTTGAAAAGAAAAAGTAAATGGATGAGATAATTCCTTTAAAGCACCTCTCCCTGTACCTGGCTTTTGGGTATTTCACAGTCGAAGACATTGCTGGCTTTAACAATAGCAGTTTTAGGGGAGCAGTGGGGACAAAGCCTGATGGGAATAGGAAGAAAGAGTTGGAGACAGCAGATTGAGTCAGCTCTTTTGAGTATTCTTATAAAATTGGATTAGAGAAATGGGGAGTTAATTCGTGAGACTGTGGGGTCAAGAGGAAAGGCCAGTAGGCAAGAAGGCCTCCCTCCCTCCCTCCTTTCCTCCTTTCCTAAAACCACAGACCTTCTACAGTGATGGGAATCATCCTGTGTAGAGGGAAAAGCTGATGATGTAGTTGGATTTAGGATCATAGATAACAATGGACCGAAATAACTAGGTTGTCCTTGCCACCTGCCCCCGCCTCTCAGTCTTTTATTCATTCACTTAACAAATACTTATTGTAAGTTCACAAGGTGCCAAGGACCGAGCTTAGGTGCTGGGAACAGTGGTGGTTAAGGGACTAATCAAACGGGCATGAGCTCTACACCCTCATGAAGTTGTCACAGTCTGGTGGAGATAGGCTTTCTAAAAACACACAAATACAGGTTTGGACGAGTGCTTTGCAGGAAGAGTACAGAGTGCTTTTGAGAGGAAGAGAGGGAGAGGAGCATGGTGTGACCTAGATGGGGAGGCATACAAAGGTCTCTCAGATGTGAAAGATGACCATGGCTGAAAAGAGCATCCCAGCAAAGGGAACAGACCTTGCAAAGGCCCTGGGCCAGGCGAGAGAGAAGCTGGTGCTTTTGGGGATTTGAGAGAAGACCAGGGTGGCCTGAGAGGTGGGAAGGGAAGCAGGTCATGCAGGGCTTTGGAAGCCTCCATATTATAGCTTACGGGATATCATGTCTAAGAGCATTGAAAACTGTTTTAGTTGGGGAGTGACATGGTGAGATTTGCATTGGAGAAAAACATACGACCCATAATGAAGTATGTCATGGTGAATGGATCGGAGGGGCAAAAGTGGGGGAAAACCCCACCAATTTAGGCAAAAAGATAATACCTGGGAAAATACTTAGTCTAAGATATGTATAATTTTGGTATAGAAATAGAAGTGAGGATATCCTCTCTTCAGCAGAATTTGCTTTGCACTTAACCAGGTTTCTTACTTCCATAAGCAGAAATTAATCCCCAATGATAGAAAAGAGTTAATGAACACATTCTCCATTTTCTTGTTAAAAATAATGTCAGTCGAGAAGAATCAGCCGAAACTTTGAAAAAGGTTGTGGCAACCTTGTGAAAAGTAAAAATAATGAGACCTTATTAAATTTTTTTTCTAGAAAAAAATACCAATGAATCAATATTAGGAGACAGAATCTGTTAAGAAAACTCATTATGGCCAGGTGCGGTGGCTTACGTCTGTAATCCCAGCACTTTGGGAGGCTGAGGCTGGCAGATCGCTTGAGCTCAGGAATTTGAGACCAGCCTGGGCAACATGGTTGAAACCCCTGTCTCTACCAAAAATACAAAAAATTTGCCAGGTGTGGTGGTGTGCACCTGTGGTCCCAGCTACCCAAGGGGCTAAGGTGGGAGGATCACTTGAGCCTGGGAGGCAGAGGCTGCAATGAACTGAGATCTCATCACTGCACTCCAGCCTGTGTGACAGAGCCAGACCCTCTCTCAAAAATAATAAAGGCCAGGTGCGGGAGCTCACGCCTGTAATCCCAGCACTTTGGGAGGCCGAGGCGGGTGGATCACTTGAGGTCAGGAGTTTAAGACCAGCCTGGCCAACATGGCAAAACCCCGTCTCTACTAAAAATATAAAAATTAGCCTGGTGCGGTAGTGGGAGCCTGTAATCCCAGCTACTTGGGAGACTGAGGCAGGAGAATCACTTGAACCTGGAAGGCGGAGATTGCAGTGAGCAGAGACTATGCTGTTGCACTCCCGCCTGGGAGACAGTGCGAGACTCCGTCTCAAAAAGAAAGAAAAAGGGAGCAAGTTCTAGTACTGGGTGGATATTTTATTGCACCAATTTAGGCTTCTCCCCAGAGATTTCTTAAAACAGAAAGGCAGTTGTAATACCAAGTATTGCTGTATCAGGCCACCTGCTGCTCCAAGGCCATGAATTAACTTGTTCTAAGCCCTCAAGGAAAGAAAAGAGGAAACAGAGGTTTATTCCCTATCAAGACAGTCCACTCGAGAAAGTTCTGTCTTGGTTGTAACTTCAGGTTTCTTTCTTACACAGGCATTTTATTAATGCTTTTACGAGTTAGAAGAGTTGGGATAATTTACCATCTGGAGTTTCTCTGCCTTGCTGATCTGAGCTCAGACCTGCTAATTTACCAGAGATGACTGATAACACCCTGTAACAGCTGAGTAAGTAGATTCTTCTGTTTGTTTTACTGCTTTTTAAAAAAGTTTAAAGTTTTAAAATACTATAAACTTTAATTGGGTTCTTTAAATTTTGTTGTTGAATAATGCAATTATGATGATGATTTTAATAAGTGAATATTTTGTAAATAATGGGATTCTGGAAGAAATTAATCCCCGATGATAGAAAAGAGTTAATGAACACATTCTCCATACATAACACTTTAGCATTCAAGAAACATAGGATTTAAATACATATATTAAAAATTTAGGCCAGGCACAGTGGCTCATGCCTGTAATCCCATCACTTTGGGAGGCTGAGGCGGGTGGATCACCTGAGGCCAGGAGTTTGAGACCAGCCTGGCCAACATGGTGAAATCCCATCTCGACTAAAAATGCAAAAATTAGCCAGTCGTGGTGGCGGGTGCCCATAATCCCAGCTACTCTAGAGGCTGAGGCAGGAGAATCGCTTGAACCCGGGAGGCAGAGGTTGCAGTGAGCTGAGACTGTGCCACTGCACTCCAGCCTGGGTAACAGAGAGGCTCTGTCTCAAAAAAAAAAAAAAAAAAAAAAAAAAAAATTTAAAAGCATTCTCCTTAGTGCTTTATTTCCCTTTTACATTATAAAATATAAAAAAAATTGGTAAAACAACTGTTAATACATTTTAAAAATGCAACTGTATATAAAAATTATCTTTGAATGCAGGATGCATTTTGGTTAATTTGAAATAAATACTGGTTTAGTGGAAATATAATTTTAATAGTTGTTTCTATTTGAAAATAATGATTTTTCTGATACTAATGTAGATAAGATCACAGAATCTCTCTGGATTTAGCTTTGTTTCTCAAACAGACTAGGGAAGAACGGCTTTCATTCTTTCTAATCAAAACACCTGAATGAAGTTTAAAGTATTTTAAGTGTTGAGTCAGTTACCTTGAAAACAAACGGTTTCTCAGAACAAGAGCTATTATTCCTCGTACTATATCCTTTGAAACTGTTTTGACAAAACTAGTAAACCGTGAAGTTGTGCCAGGGCCTTGTTTGGTAATCTTAAAATAAAAACAATGAATAAATCTGCAAGATATTCCCCACTGCAGTGGGATTATTTAATTTTGGTCCAAATCTGTGTTGTCCAATATGGTAGCAACTGGCCGCATGCCACATATAGCTATCAGACGCTTGAAATATGAGTAGTACTAACGGAAATGTGCTCTGCAGAAATTACTGTATTTCAAAAAAATATATAAAAAAGGGTTAAAATATTAGGTTTTATATTGAAATGATAATATTTTGGATATATGGAATTAAAACATATTATTAAAATTAATATCACTTGTTTTTGTTTACTTTTTTATGTGACTGCTAGAAAATTTAAAATTACTTGTAGCTTGCATTATATTTCTTTTGGATAGAACTGATCTATATCATCACATACAATCAACATTCTTAGTCATCCAGTACCTAGCATTCTGTAGCTCTTGAACTTTCTGGTTCCCATATGGATCAATTCATATACATTTGTTTTAAGAATGTGGTTCTTTGATTCATCAAATATTTATTGACTACCTACCATGTGTCAGACAGTATTGTAGGTATTGGTGATACAGTAGTGAACAAAATGAACTAAACTCTCTGCCTTCATGGAGGTAACATTCTAGCAGGAAGACACAGACTAAGAACAAATAAAAAAGTACAATATGTAGTATATAAGAAGGCAATGAGTGCTTTGGAGAAATGTAAGGCAGGCAAGGGTAAGGGCTGAAGAGTTCACTGGTAAAGAAGGTGTTCAGGGAAGGCCTCAGTGAGAAGATGTGAAGAAGTTGATGGAAAGAGCCTGTGGGTGTTTGGGGGAAGAGTATTGTAGGCAGAGAGGATAGCAAATGCAAAGACCTTGAGGCAGAAGCATGCCTGGCTTGTTTGAAAGTAGAAGGAGGCTAGTGAATGGAGTGGAGTGAGTGAAGGTGCTGTAATCCCAGCACTTTGGGAGGCTGAGTCTGGGTGGATCACAAGGTCAGGAGATCGAGACCATTCTGGCCAACGTGGTGAAACCCTGTATCTACTAAAATACAAAAAATTAGCCGGGCGTGGTGGCGGGCGCCTGTAGTCCCAGCTACTCAGGAGGCTGAGGCAGGGGAATCGCTTGAACCCGGGAGGCAGAGGTTGCTGTGAGCCGAGATAGTGCCACTGCACTCCAGCCTGGTGACAGGGTAAGACTCTGTCTCAAAAAAAAAAGATGAGAGGATATGAATGGTCACAACATGTTGTCAGAGGCATTTAAACCAGAGCAACCCCATCTTGAGTAGGGGCTGGGTAAAATAAGGCTGAGACCTCCTGGGCTGCATTCCCAAACACTTAGGCATTCTAAGTCACAGGATGAGATAGGACATCAGCACAAAATACAAGTCATAAAGACCTTGCTAATAAAAAAGGTTGCAGTAAAGAAGCCGGCCAAAACCCACCAAAACTAAGACGGCGACGACAGTGGGTGACGAGAGTGACCTCCGGTCATCCTCATTCATTGCTACACTCCCACCAGCACCATGACAGTTTACAAATGCCAGGACAGCGACAGGTTGGTACCCCATAAAAAGGGGAGACATAAATAATCCACCCCTTGTTTAGCATATAATCAAGAAATAACCATAAAAATGGGCAACCAGCCACCCTCAGGGCTGCTCTGTCTATAGGGTAGCCATTCTTTTATTTTACTTTCCGGATGAACTTACTTTCACTTTATGGACTTGCCTCAAATTCTTTCTTGCATGAGATACAAGAATCCTCCCTTGAGGTCTGGATTGGGATCCCTTTCCCCTAGCAGTGTGAGCAGTGGTTATTGAATGGGTTTTGGCTTCCAGTGAGATGAAAAAGAATTGGTGGATTTTAAGGAGAGAAGCTACATGATCTTTCTATTGAAGCTAATGTGATTTGAATACTCTGGGCTGGGGTTGGGGGTGTTTGCAAGGGTAAAAGCAGAGAGACCCACTGAGGCTACTGCAGTGACCCAGCTGAGAGATGATGGTGCCTGAGACCATAAGTAAGGGATGTGATGAGAAATGATGGAATTCTAGTTATATGTTGTTGTGAAATTAAATATGGGATAAGAGACAAAAAGGGGTGTCAGGGAAGACTCCACAATTTTCAACTTGAACAACTGAGTGGAGGTGCCTTTGCTGAGATGAGGCGGGTGTGGATTGTGGAGGGACCGATTGGAGGCAGCACTAGGAGCTCAGTTTTAAACACATTAAATTTGAGATTCCTCTTTAGACATCTAAGCAGAAAGGTCATGTAGGCAGAGTCTGGACTTCAGTGGGAGGTCAGGATTCAAAAGGCAAATTTGGAGTCATTAGCATTGAACTGTTGTTCAAAGTCATAAGAAGGATTGAGGCCACCAAGGGAGTGAGAAGAGTGGTCTGGGGCCTCTCCTGGTCCCATGGAGTCAGCAGGGCAGACTGAGGAACAGACAGGAAGGTATAAGTCATGATATTCTAGACACCGAGGGAAGCAGTAGTAACCCACCGTGTCAGATGCTGCAGATGGGTTAGGTAAGATGCCAGCTGAAAATTGATCAGAAGATTTAGCGGTGAGGAGGATGTTAGTGATCTTGGCGAGTGGTTTCGGTGAAATGGTAGAGACAAAAGCCAGGGTGGAGCAGATTCCAGGGAGAATTGGAGGAACTGCATTGAAGAGTAAGTTACAGACAGACTCTCTTTTGGGTAACTTGTGAAGTCCAGAAGAGTCGAGAAAAGTTTTGGTTTTGGTTTTTTAAGATGAGAGAAATTACATGTTTCTCCCAATGCATGTGTTAGAGAGATTTCATGGCCTACCAGATTTATGGTATTTAAGACCACCGCCTGCTGTGTTAGTTGTGGAGGTGTAGTGCTTCCCTCCTAAGATGATTTCATAGAATTGTGTTGTGGAAGAGGCGGAGGGGTGGGAGGGGTCGGGGGAGAGAGAGAAAGAGAATGTAGAGGTTGGCACTGAGTATGTTAAAGGTGGCTTTTGCAATTGTTATGAAATTTGGCTGCTGCTTGCTCAGTGTCTACATTCACATTTCGGGAATTAAAAATTTTAAGGTAACAAATGTTAAGACTAGTTCTCCTCAACTGAAAATGTTGAAGAAGCCGATGTTTGGTGTGTAATTCCTTTTCCTTACTTTTGAGGAAGTTATTGAAACATTTGAAGACGTTGAGGCAGAGACAATACCCAAGGTCACAGAAAATGAAATATTGCCAGAATACCTGGATTTTAGATCTGATTTCCTAGCTCTGTGGAACACTTAATCCCTCTGTGTTCAGTTCCAGCAGGTATAAAATGAGGATAATATTTGCTCTACCTGCCATAGGAGGTTTTTATGAGGATCAGATGAACTGGTAGGTGAAGGGGCTTAGTCAACTATAAAGCATTGTATTATATAAATAGGAAGTAATGATGTTAAAACTAAATTATACTTGAGGATTTTGCGATAGCATGTGAAATAACTGGAGAAAGTATAACGTAACAAAATCTGGGCTGAGAATATTGGTAATACATAATCTTACTAATAGAACTGCAAGAATTTGCTTTTTGCCTATGTCAGACTTTGTTAATACACCACAGAATCGATCGTGTTTGGGTGATCTCAGAGTTCTGCGGTCAAGCCACAGCTGAGGTCCAAGCAATCAATCAGTTCATCTTCTAGGAGTCTCAAAGTTACTCAACTGGCTATTTTGATACTTTAATGTAATGTTATCTTGCTGTTACTATGTGGAAGAGCCACTCTCTTAATAGAAAATATCCACGTTCTGATGATAAATTTTCTATCAGACTTTGAAAGCATTTCTATATTTGATACTTGGAGTTGAATTATAGTCATGCTTCATTTTTGTATTATCATCATACTTTATGCTGTGAAAAATTGAGAAATTAAAAATGAGTAGCCAAGATCACTTCCCTTAATGGTGATGTGAAGAGGTGATTCTCTTTCTGAATAAAACAAGTGTAAAACTAGGCGAGATTGTCCAAAATGG